ACTGGATAAATGACCACTTGGTTGGTATGCGCACCCTGTGAAATTACCATAAGACTAACCTGGACAAAGACTCCTTTTATTTTCTGACCATTGTTATGAGATCCTAATGGGGTTTGTGTTTACATTTTGGGTTTCCAGCTGTCAATGTCAATTCAGATCTGGTAACCAACAGCATCCAAATGCATGGGCATTCCACTTTCCCCTGAGAAGATGGCTGTGGGTATTTACGGGAAAGGACTAGTGAAATTATTTGCTATGACCCCATTTTGGGGAGGACTGGCCTCTCCTTCAGTTGATACATTCTAGGTCCAATAATCAACACACATCTAGAAACTGGATAAAGGATTATGAATTTCCATTGGAGCAACTTATCTTTTTGCTTGTTTAATCTTTTTTTTTTTCAGGCGGAGTTTCGCTCTTGTTACCCAGTCTGGAGTGCAATGGCGCGATCTCGGCTCACCGCAACCTCCGCCTCCTGGGTTCAAGCAATTCTCCCGCCTCAGCCTCCTGAGTAGCTGGGATTACAGGCACATGCCACCATACCCAGCTAATTTTTTGTATTTTTGGTAAAGACGGGGTTTCACCTTGTTGACCAGGATGGTCTCGATCTCTTGAGTTCGTGATCCACCCGCCTCGGCCTCCTAAAGTGCTGGGACCACAGGCTTGAGCCACCGCGCTCGGCCTGCTTGTTTAATCTTAAGCTTTTAAAATATACATATACAGAGATAGAGATACAAATATAGAGTTGGCCTTCAAACGAGACAAATGTTAGTAATGCCAATACCCTGTGCAGCCAAAAATTAAAGGATGACTTTCCCAAAACTCAGTTACTAACAGCGTACTGTTGACTAGAGCTTTACTGAAAACAGACAGTCAACACGTTTTATATGTCATATGTATTGTATTCTGTATTCTTATGTTAATATAAGTTAGAGAAGAGAAAATATTATTACAAATATCACAAGGAGGAGAAAATGTACTTATTGTTTATTAGGTGGAAGTGGATCATCATAAAGGTCTTTATCTTGGTCATCTTTATGTTGATCAGGCTGAGAGTAGGAGGAAGAGGCGGAGGGGGTGGTGTTGCTGTCTCAGAAGTGCCAGAGGCAGAAGAAAATCTATGTATAAGCGAACCTATGCAGTTCAAACCCATTGTTCAAGGGTCAACTGTAGATACAGACTACATAGATATAGATGTAGCTAGCTATGGACATAGATATGAGTATAGATATAGTTATTGATCCACAGAGTCCACAGTTATTCCTATACCCATTTCGCCACCTATGTCCTATTCTGAGGACCACCATGTTCTATCGTCTATAACCATAGATCCCTGTGAGTCACAGATCACTCTGCCTTGTTTGCCATTTCTCGATTGCTGCATATCATATAATTATATCTATACTAATTTTTTAATTGCATTTTAGGTTTTGGGGTACATGTGAAGAACATGCAAGATTGTTGCATAGGTACACATGTGACAGTGTGATTTGTTGCCTTCCCTTCACCTTTATCTGGCATTTCTCCCCATGCTATCTCTCCTCAACTCCCCACCCCACACTGTCCCTCCCCTATTTCCCTCCAACAGACCCCAGTGTGTGATGCTCCCCTCCCTGTGTCCATGTGTTCTCATTGTTTAACATCTGCCTATGAGTGAGAACATGCCGTGTTTGATTTTCTGTTCTTGTGTCAGTTTGATGAGAATGATGGTTTCCAGGTTCATCGATGTCCCTACAAAGGACACGAACTCACCGTTTTTGATGGCTGCATAATATTCCATGGACCTACACTAATTCTTAAAGTTAAATGCTACCTCAAGGCTTTACTATTCTGGAATCTTATCCCCATTACTCCTGGGAATTAATTCTTAGTTCTGTAACAAAACTTACTATCACAAATGCTGACTTTATGAAACAGACACTACTAAATTTCTCATTGATGCTGGTGACTGTCTTACCTGCTCATTCCTTACTGCCTTAGTAAACAGAGTATCTCCAAGGCTCACCCTGGAAACACAGTCAGCTGCTTGGCCTTGAGACCAGAGCTATTTTAGTACTTCCTCTTCTCTGTACCTTTTGATCCTTCTTCTTCCATGGGCTGTGTATTACCAGATAACTCTTTATTAGTTACCTACTGTTGCCTTATATTATCACTTCACAACTCAGCAACTTAAAACAACACACATTATCTTACAGTTTCTGTGGCTCAAGAATTCAGGCATGTCCTACCTATGTTTTCTACTTCATGGTGTTTTCCAAGGCTGTAATCACTCTGTTACTAGAGTCTCATCGAAAGCCTCAACTAGGAAGGATCTGCATCCAGGCTCACATATGTGGCTGTTGACAGGATTCAGCTCCCAAGGACCATTGGAGGGAGCCTCAGTTCCTTGTAGGCTGTTGGATGGAGGCTGTCTTCAAGTTGTTCCCACATGGATCTCTGGCTCTTGTAGCAGCTGGCTTCATCAAACGCAATGAGAGACAGGATGAGAGCAAAGCAGAGTTGGCCAACAAGAAGAAAGTGACAATCTTTTGTACTATAACTTAATCGTTCAATGTACCATATGCTGTTGGCTAGAAGTAAGTCACTCAAAGGGTTGAAATTACTTAAGACCGTGAACATCAGGAGGTGGAAATAATGGGGTTAGCTTAGCGGCTGCTGCCCCAGCTCTTGCACAATATCGAGCAAGATAATCAAAACACAAAATACACATAGTATGGTTCCATTTATATTAAATTTTAAAATCTGGGAAAATATACTGTATTTTTAGGGATGCATGTCTAGGTTGAAAAACTATAAAAAATACAGTAGAAAGATTTACAATCAGAATAGTTATTACCTCTAGAATGGAGGGAGGGAGATACAGTCAAGAAAAGACATACAGGAGCACATCTTATAACAAGATTCTACTTCCTGAAGAAGGTTTTGGGTACATATATGCTTGCTTAAACTATTAATTAATATATGCATTTTATTCATTTCTAGTATATATGTGTTTTTCATTTAAAACATTTTTTTTAATTCAAGTGAACTGAAATACTTATCCTATTTAAAAGTCATGATTAGATGAAGTAGTGATTGAAGATAGTTTAGAACAAGGAGATATTTCATGAATGGCATATGGATATTTATATTATTTTAAATATTGCTTTAATTACAAATACCACTTCATACCAAGTCTCTAAAAAAGACTCACAGTTCCACATGGCTGGAGAGGCCTCATAATCATGGCAGAGGGCGAAGGAGGAGCAAAGGCGCCTCTTACATGACAGAAGGCAAAAGAGCAGGTGCAAGGGAACTGGTCTTTATAAAACCATCAGATCTCATGAGACCTCCTCACTATCATGAGAATGGCATGGGAAAAACCAGCCCCCATGATTCAATTATCTCCTGCCGGGTCCCTCCCATGACACCACAACACCATGACACATGAGGAGTATGGGAGCTACAATTCAAGATGAGATTTGGGTGGGGACACAGCCAAACGATATCATTCTCTATCTTGATAGCTGTGGGGGTTACATGGATGTACCCATTTATCAAAGCTCATCAAATAGTGCATTTAGGATTTGTTCATTTCAGTGTATATAAATTTTATAATATCATATAAATAGATACAAACTAAATTAAAATATTTATTTATGAACAAATCCACAAAATTGTCATGTTTGATAATTTGCTCTAAGTATGAGTCTTTAAACTGTGATCAGCTCCTTTGATGTTACTTTATCACAGTATAATACAGTTTGTGTGTGTGTGCATCTATGTGTGTGTTTGTGTGTGTGAGTGTTCCTTCCAGTAAACCATGAACTCCCCTGAAGGAGACATTTGTTATCCCAATGGCTGGCAACTTGAATCTCTCAGATTATCCATTTAACACCTCTTTTTTATAAACAAAGCAGGACCTGGAGCCAGGTGCTTCTGTAAATCTTGAATGAACAGAATAAAGCAGGAGATGTCTGTGTGTGGCCACTGAACCCTCAAGTAGGCCTCATACATTGTGTTTTGACAAGCCCTCCAGATGACTCTGAGGCTGCCTGAGTTTGTCCACTGCTAATTAGGGGATAAGGCAAAATATTCATTCAGTAAGCTGGAATTTGCTCAAGTCTTCCGACACTTCAGATTGATCAAAGAAAATGAGTTTTGTAATTTCCCAGCACTGGAACTCAGTTTGGATGTGATGCAAGTTCTGATCGTTCAATATTTTTGCTGTAATGAAGAATATTCAAAATTTAAAATGAAAAGAGGAATAAAAATGGGTTATGTCTTCTAGAGTCCAAGAGACCAGCTGGAGAGACATGACAGAAACCTGTAAGACAGCCAAGTAGGAACTTAAGAAACTGACCTTTTAGTAACACCAGCTATCCAGATAAGTAACCTACCAGGATTTAAGGATATAGGACAGGACCCAAAGTTTGAAACATCCAGGGAAACCCCTTCCGGTGTAGACACTGTCAAGGTCACATAAAGGAAGAGCTGTCTCTTTCCTCATTGCTCCAAATGACACACAAAATAGGACCTTTTCTTCTTGTCCCAGGCCGGATGCCAACAGAGCAGAGGGGCTTTCCTCTCCCTTGGTCATTGGAAGAAATGCATAATTTGTAGTGTAACTGACTAAATCTCATTCTGGTAGAGGGTACAGGAAAAGAGAGTAAGAAATGTAATTCCAAATGCAAAGTATCACCTGATTGACCTGTGTGGAGGAAGAGGAAGATAATTTTGTCTAGAAGATGCCACCAAGGTGAGAATCAAGGAAAAGTAGATGGTATAGATCTTATTACATCTGGACAAGAATATTTTCTTCCCAGCGATTTTAAACCATTAAATGGACAAATATTATTGTGTAGCCTGATAATTATTTAGCAATTAAATAAACAAAAACAAAAAGATAGTGACAACAGGAAACGGGGTCAGTATATAAGAGGCTGTGGCTCAAGGAGACTTCTAAACCCCAGAACCCCATTCTCCTGGAAACCCACCCAGAATCTCCACCCTCTGACACCATGGTCAGCTCCTGTTGTGGCTCTGTCTGCTCTGACCAGAGCTGTGGTTGAGGTCTCTGCCAGGAGAGCTGCTGCTGCCCCCACCGCTGCCAGACCACCTGCTGCCACCGAGCTGCTACATCTCCAGCTGCTGCAGGCCTTCCTTCTGTATCTCCAGCTGCTGCAGGCCTTCCTTCTGTATCTCCAGCTGCTGCAGACCCAGTTGCTGCCAGACCACTTGCTGCACGACCACCTGCTGCCGCCCCAGCTGCTGCATCTCTAGCTGCTGCAGGCCCCAGTGCTGTCAGCCCTCCTGCTACCACCCTGCTTGCTGCATTTCTAGCTGCTGTCCTTCCAGCTGCTGCCGCCCCTCCTGTTGCCAGACCACCTGCTGTAGAACAACCTGCTTCCGCCCCATCTGCTGTGGCAATTCTTGTTGCTGAGTGACCTGCTCTGGATTTGTGCAACTTCTTGCTCTTATCCTTCAGTTCAGACAGACAGCAACTATTCAGAGAACATGTGGACTTTCTGATGTCATGAAAACAGAGGCATGGACTGATTTGGAAAAGCCCAGTCTCTTTATTAGTGTTTATTCTCTTTTATAGAAGCTTTTTGTTACTATTGAATCTGAATTTACAGTCAAATTCCATATCATATGTTTTAGAATTCTTTATTGTAATTCAATAGACCTAAGTCTTCAAATGGTACCCATCTATATGTTTCTTCCTAGTGTTTTTCTATGGAATCAATTTTCAAGTGCAATTGCTTGATGTTCATCAATAAAACTTCATAATGTTCAAAAGCACCAAAATGCTCATCTCTTTTCATTTGTTATTAATATAATGGTATATGTGTATTTCTGTCTCTTTTTCTGCATAAAACAGGAGTACATGTTGTCAAACACCCTCATAGTTAAAACATTCAATTAGCATTCTCCAGTGAGATTTTATCCTAGCCAGAATTCAGTCTCATAACAGAAATAGGAGCAGAATTTAAGAGACATTTTTGAACCTAACACATATAACGTGAAAGCTGTGGAATGTAACTGTCAGTACAAGTCTTCAATAAACTACATTCCATAATGTGATCTAAACTGATTCAAGTAGAAGCAGCTCAGTGTAGAGTATATTCTGTGGACGTGAGAATTATACAGAGTTGAGGCTGAATTCTCACTGTACTGCATACCAACTATGATCTTAGGCATGGTATTTAAACTCTGTCAACCTAGGATTACTTTTCTCTTAGGAAAGGATCATAATAACTCAAAAACACATGAAGGTTGTCATAAAATGTCAATGAGATAAAGGTGCCTGATCGACAAATAGAAGCATGCTTTTACTTCCAATTAGCCTCTGTTGTATTTTTTTAAATCTTTGTTTTGAAATGACTATAGATTAACACTAAGTGGAATAAGACAAACTTCCCTGTACCCTTCAACCGGTTCCCCTCAGTGGTCACTTCTCATAGAACCACAGTACACGTAAAATCCCCAAATCTGACATTGGTACTAAGTTCTAGGGCTCTAATAACTAGCATGGTGACTATAGTTAATAACACTGTATTGAGAACTTGAAAATTTCTGAAACAGTAGATCCTAGCTGTTCTCACTACACACACAGAAAATAATAATTATGTGAGGTGATAAGGTATTAACTAATTTGGTTGTGATAATCATCTCACAATATATACATATCAAGGCCTCACCTTGCACACTTGCTATGTACCAAATATTATTTGCCAACTATACCTCAATAAAACTGGGGAAAAATGAAAGTGCTAAAGTACTAGAAGAAATCATGAGAGATTTCTAAATATAATGCAGACTTATATGAAGCAAAACACACACGCTCACCTTAAAAAGAAAAAAAATACCCAATTAATGTAAATAAAAGTGATCTCTACTGAGTGATTGGTAGGCATCAGTCATCAGGGTTCTTCAAGGGTGTGATTCTTTTTTGGAAATACAAGATCTCGAGGAAATCTTAGAGTCATTCTCATACTCCATGAAGGGGCTCACCAGAGTTTTAGCCCTGTAACAGCTCAGAACCTGCTTCTGTTCATACTCACTGAGGAAAAAGGCTCAGGACTGCAATACGATGCTGTGTCTGGGTACATCACAGCCAGTGCAGGCTCAGAACACCAGCCAGTGCTCCAAGCAGGGGTCCACTCACAGAGCCCAGATTGTTATCATCCTGGCTGTGTAGGCCTGGAAATCAGGACCAAGGCAGTAGTAGAAACTGGTTAGCAATATACAGCAGTAGAAAAGGGTTAGGAATATAACAGCATCATATTCCATTTATTAGACTTACATGTAGCTGAGTGCAGAGAGGGAAGCTCAAAGCAATTTCATTCAATTCCCTGTATCTAGTTCTTGCATGTGCCTCAGTCAGCAACAACAGCTCACACAGAAGACCCTCCCCCGATTATCTCTGGAGGCAGCCCGTTTCATAGAGCACCTTCCTCATGGTGAGTCAGATTTTGTTTCTTCTTAGGAGCATCCTATCTTCCCTAGCCTGTATCAGCCCATGGCAGCCATCTGGGCAAGTCCCATCTCACGCAGAGCCCCTTCAAGTTGCACTGCCATTGCTTTGCTCCAGTTTTCTCCTTTTTAGGTTAAATCTCCAAATGGTTTCCATTTGTTCGTCACTGATCATAATGCCACTTTCAGAGCAATGTTACATATCATAAACCCCAATTTATCTGTATCCTTCTGACCTGGTTTGAAATGCATTTTCCAGATGTGTTCTGAATACTCCGTTAGGATTACAAATGCCTCCTCTGCCTTAATAAATGTCCCACTTTTATGAATGTTTCAAGTTTGCCTGCAGGAGTTAACACAGGGTTTGTGGCAGTAAGTGGTCGGCAGCAGGTGTGAACCAGTCCTGAGTTTAGTAGAGTGTGCAGCACCTAGTAGTCTTCAGCATAAACTGCTTCAAGCTCTTATACACGTACAGTGGTTGTTTGTAGACCAGAAGTTCTCAACCTGTCTTTCTACTGCATGCCTGAAGTAATAGGGCTCATTGTGGTGACTCAGGTTGAGCACTGCATATCTGAAATGCTTGGCACCAGAAGCATTTCAAATTTCAAGCGTTTCAGAGTTGGAATATTCACATTATACTTGCTGAGCATGCCTAATGCAAAAACCTGAAATCCTAAATGCCCTATTGGGCATTTTCTTTGAACATCATGTAGGTTCTCAAAAAGTTTTGGGCTTTGGAGCATTTCAGATTTTGAATTTTCAGATAAGGTGTCCTCAAACTGTAATATTTTATCTGGTGAAAAGGTGCTAGTAGTGGACACAACCTTAGGGTGTGTGCATTGTTAAATAAATACTCCCAATAAATGTAGACATAATTACTCCCCCCCAATCTCATTTGCCATGGCACCATGGTAACAATTAATAACAACTCATTTGATCTACAGTTGGTTCTGATATTTCATCTTGTTAGGTTTGATCCCTTGTGAGAGTGTTTCTGTAGCTTCTCCAACCATGTTCTGCCATTTGGCATACTCACTCTTTCTTACCTTCATGGCCCCCAAATATTTTGAGGAGCATGTTTTATGGAAAGACTCTCACTCAGAAGAGTTGAGATGTCCATAGCTATCCTCAGAGAGACCAGTCCAAACAGGAATTGCTAACCCATGAGCATCCTAAAGTGGAGGGTGACACGTAATTGGAAGAATGTGGCAGAAAGACAGGAAGTTTCTGCCCCTATTCTTGGGTTTCCTTAACACCCAGGTTTGGAGGTCTCTGTGTGTGTGTGTGTGTGTGTGTGTGTGTGTGTGTGTGTGTGCATGTAATATTCCTAAGGTAAAGGGCCTTAGGAAATAAAGGTAAATACATATATATATGTATAAGTATATAACATATATAATAACATTACTGAATATGTTATTATATATGTTATATACTTATACATATTATTAAATACAAATATATATTAGGAATATATATTGGAAATATGTAATATATATATTCATTAAGATATAAATATATATAGTCCTATATTACTTATACATAAAGTAATATGTGTATATATATATAATATATACATATATATATTACCCCAAACCTGTATATATATGTGTGTGTGTGTGTGTGTGTGTGTGTGTGTATGTGGGTATATTTATATATGGTGTATATAGATATATGTGTGGGGGAATATGTGTGTATATTTACATATGGTATATATATATGTGGGGGGATATGTGTGCATATTTACATATGGTGTATATGTGTGTGTGTGTGTCTGTGTGTATTTGAGTATATTTATATATGATGTATATATGTGTGTATGTGTCTGTACATTATATAAGGTGTGTATATGTATACGTATATATATATGGCAAGGACACTGGGCTCTTTACCTCAGGTTAGCAAGTAAACCTTAGAAATAGAGGCGATGACTCAAGATGCCTGTTAAAGTCAGCAAGACAAGGAAGAAAAGTCAAAAGGAAAATCAGCCCCTCGGGCAGAGAGCTGAGAGACCTGAACCCTTTAGTGTATCTCTGTAGCCAATTCCCCCTAAAGTCCCTGAAACTGAGTATTGGAGCGTTATTTCTCAAGAAAAAGAAGCATCAATAGTCCATGACTTAGATGTCCACCTTAAAACAATTCTGCTTTCCCCATCAGAAAGTCTAGAGAATCGGTTATGATTCATTGCGTGGAAGGGGGCAAAGAATATATCCCAATAGTATTTGTGTTCATGCCGCTGGTTACCTGTTTCACATTCAACCCTTCATTGCCCACTTGATCCGTAACAAACAGGCCATGAAATTAAGGCACACCTTTCTCCTCCTGAGTTACCAAAAGAAAATTATGGGCCTAGAAGAATCAAAATCACCCGAGGTCAGACATAATGTATTAAGGAAAATGAGGCTGCAGCACGTGGTATCTACAAGCAGATGTCACATGGCAGCTCCAGGAGGAAGCTACAGCAAGAGACACCCAAGAGGTTGTTCAAGAAGTGCTGACCTGAGGAATCATAACGTACCAGGGGAAGGAAATAATGCTTTCTTCCATGTTGACAAATGTAACCAGAAAAACAAACCATTTGACTAATTTGATAATTACCTACTTATCAGGACAAACACTAACAAGGAAAGAGTGCTGCATCTGATGACATTGGCCCTTAGCAGGGTATAAAAGAGGATCTGGGGGCAAGGAGACTTCCAAACCTTCCAAACCCACCTTCCTGGAAACCCATCGAGAACCTCCACCCTCTGACACCATGGTCAACTCTTGTTGTGGCTCTGTCTGCTCTGACCAGGGCTGTGGCCTGGAGAACTGCTGCCATCCCAGCTGCTGCCAGACCACCTGCTGCCGCCCCAGCTGCTGTGTGTCCAGCTGCTGCCGCCCCAGCTGCTGTGTGTCCAGCTGCTGCAGGCCCCAGTGCTGTCAGACAACCTGCTGCAGGACCACCTGCTGCCGCCCCAGCTGCTGTGTGTCCAGCTGCTGCCGCCCCAGCTGCTGTGTGTCCAGCTGCTGCCGCCCCAGCTGCTGTGTGTCCAGCTGCTGCAGGCCCCAGTGCTGTCAGACAACCTGCTGCAGGACCACCTGCTGCCGCCCCAGCTGCTGTGTGTCCACCTGCTGCCGCCCCAGCTGCTGTGTGCCCACGTGCTGCCGCCCCAGCTGCTGTGTGTCCAGCTGCTGCAGGCCCCAGTGCTGTCAGACAACCTGCTGCAGGACCACCTGCTGCCGCCCCAGCTGCTGTGTGTCCAGCTGCTGCCGCCCCAGCTGCTGTGTGTCCAGCTGCTGCAGGCCCCAGTGCTGCCAGTCTCTTTGCTAGTAGCCCATCTGCTGCC